ACATTTAAATATTTTATAATATCACTTTATTTAGTACAAGATCTAAAAAAATAATTACTATAGTGGTGTCTGACAAGGTTTCGACATCTTTAATAACTTTTGATCCAGTAAAAATTTTGTGTTAATTATTTTTAAATAATTTTTACAATTATTTTTAAGTTAAAGATATAGTATAATTTGAATAAAATTTACCAATTATCCAATTTCATGTTGTCGAGTTTACAAATGAGTTATATTTAGAAGTAACCAAATTTATACTTGATTGCCTAATCTAGTCTATTTTACAGTAATTAAATTTAGAATTTTTTTCGACTGTGAATTTTTTGATTGCAGCATTATACTAAATTTATCACGAGGGCTATTAGTATTGGAATAACAAATATAATATTAAGTAGCCATAGAAATACAAAGACATAGAAATGTAAAAACACTGAAAAGCCATAGCAATAAAAAAAACTCTAAGAATCCATAGAAATACAGAAACAATAAGAAGCTATAAAAATGAAATACTGAAAGTGTTGAGTTTAGCATCAATTAAGTGACGTGCTCTAGTTGCAACTCCAACACCTACCCCTACCAGCCGACTCACATTGTCGGACTGCAATCTTCCTCGCTTCCTTTCCCAAACTATGTACTAATAGGTTAAAGCAAAAATTGTATTATTAGAGTTTTTTCGTTTGAGATTTTAAGTGAGCTTGGCTTTATTGTGTAGTTTTTTGTTAAATGTAAGAAAAGATCTACTAAAAAAAATTCATATTTTTTAAGTTGTTTTACTTGAGAAGCTAAATTTTAGTATATTGTGTATAGGAGTTATTTAATTACTATACTTTGTGTTGGTCTTATATAATTTTTTTCAGGTGTTTGCACCTACCATTCATCTGCGTTTATGTGAATTATTTATTGTTTATATTATTAATTGTGTTACTATTCCTTGTAAAAAATACAAAATGGAGTGTGCGCTAAGTCGGCATTTTAAATATTGTGTTTTGAGTTAAACACTGTGGCCTTATGTAGACATCATTCTCTTTGTATTCCTAGTCGCTCGTAACTCACAGTTATCATTTCGCCAAAGTTCTTATACATTATCTTATTAGTAAATTTTTAGATTCGATGCAAAGCTGAGAAGGTATTAATTTTACTATGATGTGTTTTTTTATTATTATTATGTTAATGTCTGTCACCACTTTTTCTCAGTATTTATCGGACCATTTTTTTTTAATAATACATCATAAATCATACGATCACAAATCGTATCAAGTTGAAGACATTGCCCTTAAAAATTAAAAAATATTCTCATATTCCCTCTAAATGGGGTAAATCTCCAAAAAAGCTAAAAATTTTTAGAATCAATAAATGTTGACTATTTTTTCTTTCTTAAAACTGCCATAATTTTTTTAAAAATAAACAAATCAAAATAATTTTTTTTTATATAGAAACTTTAAATACTTCTTTTTCATTTGATATAATTTTTTTGAAAATCTAACCCTTTACCTGCTCACAGGGGCAGATTCAAAAAAGCTATGTTTGCACATAAATTTAATTTTTGATAATGTTCCGGAAATACTGCGTCTTTTAAATATATGTTAAATTAGAACTTATGTTACGAACTATAAAAAAAACATTTTCTCAAGGAAAACTTTTTCTAGTGTTTAAAATCAAAATTGACTCCTATCTTTTTCCAAATTCGACGGCTATTTGCACATAGAAGATAAGTCGTCGGGACAATTTTTTTTTTTAACTTATAGTACGTAACTTAAGCTTTAATTTAACATATATATAAAAGACGCAATATTTCCAGAACATTTTCAAAAATTAATTTTTGTGAAGAAGTTGCCATTTTGAATTCGCTCCTGTGGTGGACAGGTAAAAAGTTAGGTTTTGAAAAAATTTATATCAAATAAAAGGAAAATACCTAAGGTTTCTATATAAAAAAAAATTTTTTGATTTGTTCATTTTTGATAAAGTTATGACAGTTTAAGAAAAAAAAATGTCAAAATTTACCAAATTTAAAAATGAGGGAAATTTTTAAAATTTTCAAGGGCAATGTCTTCAACTAGATGAATTTTGTGATTATTTGACGTATGTTTAAAAAGAAATCGGTCGGATGAGAGCTGAGAAAATGTGGCAATAGACATAAGAAAAAAAGAATAACACATCATAGTAAAATTAATACCTTCCAGCTTCGCATCAAAGGTAAAACTTGTAATCAGGATATAAATAAGGAAATAGGAGTTCATTTTTCTTTTAGAATAATCCACCAATTAATTAAAATTAAGCATTATCTACAGATTTGCATTAAATCGTTATTTATGACATTGATTTTAATCACTGTCAGATATCATCTATACTTGTCCCAACTATACGGTGTCGCGATCGCACTGTGCTATTGTATTTTGCTACTATATTATCAATTTAAAAATAAAGGTTCCTATTTAAGAAAATGAAAATGAAAATTAAAAAAAATGATTTTTACTGTTATATATTATTTTCTTAATGTTATATTTTTCTCTTTACAAAAATTTTAAATGTGTAGTAGTTTCCAAATGAATGAAAGTCATATAATATTTCGATCACTCTGTAGTTTTTATGTTTCTAGGTATTAAAATAACACAAGGTATTATACTAATCTCTTTATTAAAATAAAAATATAATTTTCTATTTGGAAGAAATGAAATAATCCACCATGTGTCTTGGGTACTCTTTCATGTCAATTGATGAATTCAAACTTACATGTTTTTTTCGTTTGAAAACAGTGTTTTTGAAATTTTCAATATTTTCAGTTTTGAATACATCTAAACCATCATTATTCCCTAGGTCGTAAACATCAAATTCATTAATGTTACTGCTAGTAACGCATTTATCATAATTACTGTTACAATTATCTATTGGATTATCTGTGCACAATATATCTGTAAATAATAAAAATGTCTAATTACTTTATTTACACGTCATTATATTAATTTAAATCATCATCGCAATAGGCTTATCTCAGCTATTCGGGATCATCTCATAACTTTGACAGAATTTTACACCAATTAAATTAGTTTTGATTATACTTTTAATTCATAAAATATTTTAGTTTTGTTGTATAAAGTTAAGAACCTATTGGTTTTACTCTGACTTTTTATTTTACGATTACTCCACTCTTATTGGACTGATTTTTCCTAACAATGCGTCAAAAGATCACAGATGTAACTACTTGAAGCATTCAGTGCCATATTTTTACCAATTTTCCCTTCAATTCTTAAATAAAAGAAAATATCCCAATAAATTACTTTTGTCATAAAACAGTCATTGTTGATATTTTTAGTTTTCACTTTATATTACTGTTTGTAAACTGGACGGGCTGTTGCAATACATATTTTAATACTATATGATAATGACATTAATACATAATGTCATAATAATACATAAGGGAAGCTATAAGTGTAATTATATTGAAAAAATTCCCTCTATCTCTGTAATAGAGGGAAATGTCCCGAAAAATTACATATCTTTTAAAACAGTCAGTGTTGATATTTTTAGTTTTTTCTTTGTATTGAAATAACTTTTTGAAAACTGGATTATTTCAAAAATTTTAATGAAAATAATTAAGGAATTGTGTTTAAAAATCAAAAAAAATTTTTTTTTAAGTTAAAAAATAATAATAATTTTAAATTATGTTACAAAAACATGCATTCTTTAAACCCATATTCAATTTAAAATATAAAAAAAACCCAGTACAGTCGGATCGCGGCACAATGGAGACGTGGCACAGTTGGGTATAGTATACCCAATCTGACTGTGATTTAAATCACTATCATAAATACTCTTCGATGCAAATCTTTAGACAGTCTTCAATTCTAAGAAATTGGTCGATTATTCCAGAGCAAAATTCTAACTCAAAAATAATTACGGAAAAATTGCAAAATAATCATTGCCACGGGCAATGATTTCCTTAATTATATTCCGATTAGTATATCTTAGATTCAAAATTATAATATATAATTTTTATATTTAATTGTTTTCAAATTATTATTGATTTTTAATATGTTAAAATTAATCATTTTTATCCTCCTTTTTTTTGTGAAAGTTTATAATAATAAAAAAAAAATGAATTTACTGCCATAACTTTTAGTTCAACTTGCAAGTTTGAAATTTACATCTATAAATAGTAAAAAATGGCATTGTTATGATTAATATTCAGTTAGAAAATTTTATAATTACTATTTACGTTAAATTTATCAGAGAAGTTCGATTTTTTTTTGCTTTGTTATCGTAATAGATCACTTAAATAAAGACTATTCATTATTAACTTTTGGTGTTTAAAAAGATTCTACAATTGAAATATGCAAAACTGAATTAATTTTTATGATTTACTTTAACAAAAAAAATCAATAAAAATGTTGTTAAAAAAAAATCTACACAATTGAGCGTTTTAAAAAATTAATTTACAATTGTAAAAACCCGTTGTTAAATTCAGATAAAAATAAAAATAATTTTTTTTAGAAATTATTTATATAACAACATGTTACTAAAAAATTTGCTTTATTATAGAATGGTAATAAAAACACAAATAGAGTTAAAAAATTATCAAATTACAAAGTAAAATTGTTTACTTTTGTAGTTGAATCATTTATCATATCAAATCTCATTCGACAATAAATACTTTAAAAATATTAGAAATGAATGATTTTAATTATTTGTATTTGGATAAAGCTGGTTATGCCACTTTTTATTACATTAAGGGATTTTTTTTTCAATTTATGAGGATAATATATCTTTAACTAGATACTATATGTGATAATTTAATGTATCGTTAAAATAAATTAGTCAAGTGAGAGCAGAGAAAATAAATGACAGCCTCAAAAAAAAAAAAACCCAGCACAGGGGGGTCGGGGCACAGTGGTGCCGTGGTATAGTTGGATCAAGTATAATGATATCTGACAGTGATTAAAATCACTATCAAAAATAAACGCTTCGATGCAAATCATTAGAGAGTGTTTAATTTGAAAAAAATTGGTGTTTTATTCCAAAAGCTACTTGATCTGCTGGTTCCTTATTAATATCTCGATTAAGATAAAGTATGTCGAATGAAAAAGGGTTTATTAAAAAATATTATTTCTCATAAAAAAATTGTGTGGATCCATAAACTTTTCAATAAGTTATAGCATTANATTGTGTGGATCCATACACTTTTCAATAAGTTATAGCATTAAAAAATTAAATATAATATAAAAAATAAAATCGAGAATTTTCACACAAAAATAGCATTCGATAGCCATTTTCACCATGAAGACAAGTCCAGAGATCAAATTTTTTTTTTTTAAATTAAAGTATATTACATTAGCATTAATTTAAGATATATATAAAAGTGTCAGATTTTCCGGATTATTTTCAAAAGTTAAGTTGAAAAAGTTAATTTTTTGTGAAAAAGTTGTCTTTTTAAATCCCCCTGTGGGCAGGTTAAGTGTCAGATTTACAAAAAAATATACCAAATGATAGGTAAAGACATCAAGCATCTATAAAAAAAAAAAATTATATTCAGATGTTCATTTTTGAAAAAGTTACGGCAGTTTTTAGTAAAAAAAATTGAAAAAATTTCGAAAATTAGCGATTTTTAAATTTGTAATTTTTTTGGAGGTTTCCCCCATTTAC